GCCTTATCAATTTTGCTCTCTGCTGCACCCTGGTACCTGCTGGCACATTCTAGGCATGCAGATGGCCACTGAAAGGATTGGCTAATGCTTCCAAAGCTCCTTAAAGAAAGACTCAACTGTACTCAATATCCTGCACTTAAAAGGCAGGTTACAATGATCCAACATGTTTGAAAGCTTTTCCGGCACGCTGAAACAAAGTCTGCTTCATAGGGTAACTCACTGCTCACTGCTCTAGAACTGCACTTTTCAAGTTTGTAATTTTACCTACTTCAAAACAAACATGTTCGGAGCTTCCCTGGTGGCTCAGTGGTAAAGAATCCGCCTGGTGATGCAGGAGACATCGGTTTGTCGATCCCTGCTCTGGGAAGATCTCACATCTCACACGTCTTGGGGTTACTAAGCCCATGCACCACAACTATTGAGCCTGTGTTCTAGAGCCCAGGAACTGCAACTACGGAGCCTACGAGTCACAGCTGCTGAAGCCTGCACGCCCTGGAGCCTGTGCTCCGCAACAAGAGAAGCCACGCTGCAAGAAGCCTGCACACTGCAACTAGAGATGCGCTCCCGGTCACCGCAACTAAAGAAAAGCCCGTGCAGCAAGGAAGACCCAGCACAGCCAAAAACAAATAAACTAAATATATATATATGTGTGTGTGTGTTCCTAAATAAGTGGAACAATATTCTGTGTTCATGGATTAGAAGACAATATTGTGAACACGGCAATACTCCTCAAAGCAATCTACAAGAGTCAGCGCAATCCCTAGCAAAATCCCACTTGACTTTTTTGCAGAAATTGACACGCTGATCCTAGAATTCATACAGCATGTCAAGGAATCCAGAACAACTCTGAAAAAGAACAACTAAGTTCAAGGACTCTTACTTCCCCATTTCAAAACTTACTACAGAACTACAATAAATAAAATGGCAAAAGGATAAACATCTGGATTAATGGAAAAAGAGGAAAGTCCAGAATTAAGCATCTCCCTATAGATGACCGATTTTCAACAAGGATTCCAAGGCCCTTCAAAAGAACAGTCTCTTCAACAGATGGCTTTCCACATGTAAAACAACTAGATTTCCACATGAGAAGGAATGAAGTTGGAGCCTCCTCAAGCCATGTACAAAAATTAACTTGGTCAGCAAGGCTATCATCAAACAATAAATGCTGGAAAGGGTGTGGAGAAAAGGGAATCCTCCTCCACTGTTGGTGGGAATGTAAACTGGTGCAGCACCTATGGAGAACAGTATGGAAGTTCCTTCAAAAACGACCATATGATCCAGCAATCACAATCCTGGGCATATATCCAGAGGCAAACATAATTTGAAAAGAAATATGCACTCCAATGTTCACTGCAGCCCTACTGACAACAGCCAAGACATGGAAGCAACCTAAGTGTCCATCGACAGATGAATGGACAGAGATAATGTGGTACACGTATACAATGGAATATTACTCAGCCATGAAAAAGAATGAAATAATGCCAGCTGCAGCAACATGGACGGGCCTGGTGCTTATCACACTAACTGAAGCATATAAAAGACAAGTATCACACAATACTACTTATATGTGAAATCTAAAAAAAATAACACAAATGAACTTATTTACAAAACAGAAACAGACTCACCGACTTCACAAATAAAGATATGGTTGCTAAAGGGGACAGGTAGGGGGAGGAGAAATTAGGATTTGGGGATTAACATACATATGCTACTATATAGATACTAAATAGATAATGAACAAGCACCCACTGTATGGCACAGGAAACTCTACTCAACATTCTGTAATAATCTACATGCGGAAGGAATCTGAAAAAGAATGGAACGTGTATATGTATTATGGACACACTTTGCTGTATACCTGAAACTAACATTGTAAGTCGACTGTACTCTGATATAAAATAAAAAATTAAATTTGAAGAAAAAAAAGAATATTTCCAGAACATTAGAATGCTTACACATGTCCCAAACCTATACTCCTTCCATCTGAGACATTTAATGTCTCTGGTTACATACAATAATATGGCTAATGTGTTTATCATGTACTTTTTTATTGCATTTATCATGTATTTAATTCATATCATGTGTTTGTGTATCATACTGTTTGCATTTCCCAACCCTAGACTGTTTAATTTTGAATGTCTGAATTGCATGTGTGCTATGAGTTAATTTTATTCTTACTACAAACTCAATATTCATCTATGAAAAACAACAACAGCAAAAAATACAAATTAACTCAAAATAAATCAAAGATCTAATTGTAAAAACTAAAACCTCTTAAAGAAGAAAACCCAGGGGTAAATCTTCTTGACTGTGGAATTGGCAATGTTTTCTTAGATATGCACCAAGAACATAAGCAACAAAAGAAAAAACAAATGAGACTTCATCAAAAATTTTAAAACTTTGTGCATCAGTAGACACAATCAAAAACCTAAACAACAGCCTGAAGAATGGGGAAAAAAAATCTTCAAATCACAAATCCTGTAAGGGACCAGAATCCAGAAAGTAAAAGGAACTCTTACAAATCACAACAAAAAGACAAATAGCATAGTTAAAAAAAATAAACAAAATTCCTGAATAGAAATTTCTCCAAGGAAGATATACAAATGGCCAACAAGCAAGAGAAAAGATACTCAAAATTTTAGTCATTAGTGCTAAGTGAAATCACTCAGTCGTGTCTGACTCTTTGTGATCCCATGGACTGTAGCCTACCAGGCTCTTCTGTCTATGCGATTTTCTAGCAAGAATACTGGAGTGGGTTGCCATCTCCTCCAGGAGATCTTCCCAACCCAGGGATTGAACCCGGGTCTCCAGCATTGTAGGCAGATGCTTTAGGAGAATGTAAATCAAAACTCTAAGATATGTAAGATACACCGCTCCACACCCACTACAATGGCTATTGTCAAAAAAGAAAACCACCCTGAAAACTGAGAACAAGAGGAAATTGGAGCCCTAATACATAGCTGGTGGGCATGTGAAAAGGGGCAGCTACTGGGGAAGACATCTCAATGGTTCCTCAGTAACTTCAATATAGAGTGACCCCGTGACTAATCCCACTCCTAGGTACGCTCCTGAAAGAAATGCAGACAGGTGCTCAAACAAAAACTTGTACACAAATATTCATACAGTACTACTCAGAAGGGCCAACTGAAGAATGGCTAAACAAAATGTGGTCTGTTCATACCCAGGAACATTATTCAGCCATAAAAATCAATGAAGTACTGATACAGGCTACAACGTGGATGGACCTTAGAAACACGCTAAGTGAAAGAAGCCAGACTCAAAAGTGCCACATTATCGTACGATTCCTTTTATGTGAAATATCCAGAGATACAGAAAGAAGATTAGCGACTACCAGGGCCTAGGTAAAGACAGAAATGGAGAGGGTTTCCCTTGGGGTGGGGAAAATGTCTGGGAAGTAGACAGTGGTGACGGTTGTTCAACATCATGAATGCGCTAAAAGCCACGTATTTTAAGATGGTTGATTGGGGCTTGGTGGCTCAGTGGTAAAGAATCCACCTGCCAAGGCAGGAGAAACAGGTTCGAGCCCCCATCTGCGAAGATCCCACATGCTACGGAGCAACCAAGTCTGTGCACCACAACTCCTGAGGCTGTGCTCGAGAGCCTGGGGCCACAGCTACTGAAACCCTTGCGCCCTGGAGCCCGTGTTCTGCAACAAGAGAAGCCGCCGCCACGAGGGGCCTGTGCAGGTACAGAGTAGCCCCTGCTCGCCACGACTAGAGAAAAGCCCACCCGGCAACAAAACCCCAGCACAGACAACAAAAATTAAAAAAAAAAAAAAGAACAGCAAATTTTACATTGCAAGAATTTTAACTCAACAAAAAAGCAGTATTCTATGTTTCCACCCCAGCCCTGGGGGCTCAGACAATAAAGAATCTGCCTGCGATACAGGAGATGAGGGTTCAATCTCTGTGTTGGAAAGATCCCCTAAAGAAGGGAATGGCAACCACTCCAGTATTCTGGGGGAATTTCATGGACAGAGGAGCCTGGTGGGCTACATTTCATGGGGTCGTAAAGAGTCAGACACAACTGAGTGACTTACACTATCACTTTCCTCCCAGCCAGCACCAGCCACAGGGTTCACATGTTGTAAATATACTTTGCAGAGACTGCGCAGCTTCCTGGGCACTACCTGCAATAACTGCCCATCTCCTCTTTGCCATCTGTGGGTGCTGATAGCTGCTTTCGGGCAGTTGGTGCTGGACAGCTGCCCAGGCGCTGCCCCTGTGATAAGGCTGCCCTCCTTCTCTCTCCCCCTGGCCCCTTGAAGCACTGCCCAGCCCACTGCCCTGGAGGCCACGTGGCCACAAACACTCTTGGGCTCCAAAGTCAGCTGTCACACCCAGGAGCCCAGGTAATCGGCAACAGAACTGGGCACAGCCTCTCTGAGCCCAGGTTATTGTCTTCCTAAAGGTCACAGTAGTCACCCTCCTTCTGGGCAGGATGGAAATAAACAAAGGTCTCCATCCATGGCACACGATGTCAAGCCTACACGTGATCGGTTTTGGTCTTCTTAGACCCAACCCACTTTCCCTTGTCCAAACACACACACAATTTCTGGACAGATTTCCATAACTGCTTCATCCTTTATTTTTCTAGGAGCTACCAGTTAGCAGTAAAATGGTGGAAAAGATTAGAGAAGAAAAAAAAAAAGCCATAAAAATCCTTTGAATAACTGGATTGTTTATAAATCTATCTTGTTTAGACCTAAATATTGTTGAGAAAAAAAAGTATTCAGCTGTTATATGGACTTTATCCACACTGTAGGTGCTGTGCTCAGAAAGAAAGGGCTGGAAGAGGAGGTTCATACGCTGATAGGTTAACAGCAGGTAACTTGGGTGACAAATTAGCGGCAGTTCTTATCTGATGGCTGTAATCGGCATGCAGTGTAATATTAAAAAGACAAGTCCTTGAAACAATAAAAGGACAGCTGTGTGCCCGCCTCCCCCCTCCCAAGTGCAAACACTCCCAGCCCCACATACCTTGTTGAGCTTGCCCAAGGAAGATATAAGATCCGCCCATTCACTCGAGGACTCGAAATTTCTTAACGCCTTTTCGATCACGGAAGCTTGGGGTCAGAAATCCACCACGTGACTGTTCATTGGCATGTGGGTGTGCTCTTGTCTGAGGCTTTGTGTCCCCCATGGACTGTAGGCCACCAGGCTCCCTTGTCTGTGGGGTTTTCCAGGCAAGGATACTGGAGCAGGGTTGCCGTTTCTTCTCCAGGGGATCTTCCCCGACCCAGGGATCAAACCCATGTCTCCTGCATTGCAGGTGGATTCTTTACCACTGCGCCACCTGGGGAGCCTTGACTGTTCATTTTCTAAGTACCAGTTATCTGCCTGGCCCCATAGCTCTGTCTACAGGCAAGGAGCCTGGATGGACGTGTGTTACACCAGGGTCCAGGTGGTTGCCATTTTCTTTTGGCCCTTGTACATTCTTTACTTCTTTCTTTTTCTTCCCCTGTGGCTAGATGCATTCATTATACATGAACCACTGCAGCTACTGCAAAGCCTGAGGTAGCGGTGGTACGGTGGACTCCTCCGGTCTTTTGCCTTTCACCTTTCCCCTATTTTATGCCTCAAAACAAAGGTTTGATGTTGGAGCTGAAGCCTCACCTTGCAACCCAGGGGAAAGAGCCACCTTTAGGGCATGACTTCCATGCGTTAAGTGGAAGGAAGGCACCACACCAACCTTGGACACTCTGCCCCTGGACTTATTGCTTTCTGCATGTTAAGAGTTGAGTTTAAGCTGTTAAATCAAGTGTTCTGTTACTCACAGCTAAGCATGATCCTGACTGATTTATGATCCTACGTGGTACCTCACTAGCTCATGCTCTGAAAGGAGAAGCATGGAGTAATGGTGATGTGAGTAAATTCCCCCGAGGTAGCGTCAGTTTGCTAACCAAACTGCATGTCATCAATCAGATAAAAAGGCAAACATTACTTCATGAAGAAACCGAGCTGCAGGGACAACGTGATCTTTAAGCCTCAGTTTTTCGTTTCTTGGCTATGGGGAAGTTTTAAGACTCTCGAGGTCTTCTCCTCTTCGCTTTCTGATGGCTCCGGGGCCCCTGTGATCTTCTTAAGGCCGACACAACTGACTTCCAAATCATCAACGCCAGTGGACTCTGTTTCCTCATTCCCCTCCCAGGAGGACGGTGCAGCAGGCCACTTCCTCCTCCTGCAGACAGCCTCCCAGCAGCCCACACTCCTCTGGGCCATCTGCCCTGTGCTGGCTCCCACCCATCTCCCTGCAGGCCCACCCTCATCTGCACGCCTGCCAGATGCTGACATTCCTGGGCACCACGCTTGGGCCCCTCTCGCCCTCTCTCTCTCCCCTCAATGATCTATTCCTTTAACTAATTAATACCAGCTTCATGCTCATGACTCACAGGTTTATAGCCCTCCAAACCTCCCCCTCGAAGACCCAAATTCATGCCAATGCTTCCTTGACTTCTCTACACATCTGAAACTTAGCGTGTCCGAAACTAGACTCTCTAGTGTCTATCAACATCATGTGGTCTAGCCATATGATGGCACACCACTCAGTGATGAGAAAGAACGAAGCGCTGAACATGTTACATGTGGATGCACCTGGAAGATACAAGCTCAGTGGAAGAAGCCGGTCATAAAAGGCCACACATCATATGACTCCATTTATATGAAATGCCCAGAACAGTCCAGTCTGTAGAGATGGCAAGTGGAAGCGTTAGTGGTTGCTTAGGGTGGGGAGCAGGAACAGGGAGTAACTGCAAATGAGCACAAGGGATCTTTTTTATGGAGGCGGGGGATGGGTAATGGAAATGTGCTAAAAACTGGATTATGGCCATGGCTGCATATCTCTGTAAGTTTACTAAAAATCACTGAATGATACACTGAAAGAACTTTATGGTCTGTAACTTATTAACTTTATAACACTGTTTTTAAAAAACCCTCCCCTCTTTTTTCCTTTTCCAGTAAGTTTATTATAGAATATTGACTATAGTTCCCTGAGCTATACAGTGGGACTTCGCTGTTTATCCGTTCTATATATAATAGTCTGCATCTGCTAACCCCTAACTCCCAATCCACCCCTCCCTTCTCCCTCGGCAACCACAAATCTGTCCTTCACGTGTGTCTGTTTTCATTTTATAGATAAGTTCATTCATGTCACATTCTCGATTCCACACAGAAGTAATATCATGTTATTTGTCCTTCCCTGTCTTTCTGACTTACTTCACTTAGGATGATAACCTCCAGTTGCATCCATGTTGCTGCAAATGGTTATTATTCATTTTTTATGGCCGAGCAGTATTCTACTGCTTGGTGTATATACACCTTATCTTCTTTATCCATTCATCGGTCAGTGGGCATTTAAGTTGCTTGTGTAAAAAAAAGCCCTCCACTCTTAGAGGGAATATATGTACACTTTTGACTGACTCCATTGTTGTACGGCTGAAACCAACACAACATTGTAAAGCAATTATCCTCAAATTAAAAATAAACTTAAAAAAAAAGAAGCCCTCCACTCTTGATTCTACCTGCATAGCACGTTCCCTCCCTGGTCTTCCTTTCCTCAGAAAGCAGCCCCTCCACCTATGAGAACTTTGACGTCGTCCTGAACTCTTCCTTCTCTTCACTGGCCACATTGAGCCCAAATCCTGTTAGCTCATCTTCCAAAACACCCATGGACTCTCCACTGGGTGAGCTTCCTCCTGCAAGCTTGCAGAAGCATCCTAAGGCTTCTCCTTCAGACTCTTGTCCCTCTGTTCCTGTGTATACTTTCACACAGCACTCCAAGTCCTCTTAAAACATAAAGCACTTCCCCACCATGGTGAAACTCTTCCCACTGAGCCTATGTATAGTAAGCCCACACTCCCTTCATGCCCAACCCACTTCTGGGCCTGCAAGGCTCTACCTGCCTCTCTCCTTGCAGCACTCTGTTTGTCCTGAGATAATTCATCCTTCCACAAGGGTTTTGCACATGCTGGACCTCTCTGCAAAAATACACTGTACTTTCAAAAAAAAAGAAAATACACTGTACTATGTATAGGTACACAATAGGATTGTTGGCTCATTCCTGGAAAGGCCTGCCTTCTTTTCTGAAATAATATTTCATAGTTTTTGAAAATAATAAGGATGGTAATGAGAGATGTAGTTTGTTTTGCCAAGTAAAGACATAAGAATTTAGTACATCGCAATGGTCTGTTTTTTTTTTTAATTCCAGGAGATTTGTAAGTCTGATATTCCATATTTCTGAACCACTGTAATACACCACGCAGTATGTTCACTCTATTAGGTGTCAAAGTACCGGGGAAAGAAACAGGAACAAGGCAGAGTTTGACTCCCACAGTTCAGAGCCTAATAAAAGAGGAAATGCCTAAACATGAAATTTCAGTTTAACGTGGCATGGAACTTCCCTGGCGGCCCAGTAATTAAGACTCCTTGATGCCAATGCAGGCAGCATGTGTTCCATCCCTGGTTGGGGAACAAAGATCCCACATGCCTCAAGGTACTGTCAAAAAAATGAAAATACAATAAAAACTAAAGGATACGTTTTAAAAAATGAATGTGTACACAGAGTGATGGAGGGTAGGCTGATGTACCAGAGTGATGCTGGCAAGAAGGGCAGAGGGAGCCCAACGAACAGCGGAGAAGTCCTCAAAGTCCACGAGTGCGGGCGCTTGCTAGCAGGAAGACAGCCGTGTCAGTGACAGCACGTGTGTTTAGGAGGTGGGATAGCTAAGGGGCACCACTGCTCATGGCAGCAAGGTGTAAGCCCAGTAAGAGCGGGTAACTGGAGCAGTTCAACGTTATGGTTGGTTATAAGAAAGCCTCCTTGATGTCACTAACAGCCCAGGTAAGAAGTTTGGAAACTGTCAAGCAAGCTCTTTTATTTCAAAATATGGCACCTGATGCTATGCTCATAAGCAAGACTCCTGGGTGGGCTTGGTAAACCCATCATTTCTGCATGTATTTCTCTCACGCCACACACAAGAGTCCTAAGAGATGGGTATCATCAGCTTCCAGATGAGGATGTTGGGATTGAGGCCTTCCAAAAAAAGTGCCAGGGTCCCAAGGCAGGCAACTGGCAGAATCAAGATTCCAGTTCAGGCCAGCCGGGTGCCACAGAGCCTCGACCATATTACGCCACAGGTAAAACTCAAGAGTGTAACCTTTTTCGAGCTCTCCTGACTAACTCAGTAAGAGTGAGTATAACAACCTAGTAACCATTACACCCAAAANAGTAAGAGTGAGTATAACAACCTAGTAACCATTACACCCAAAACAGCAGTCCTATAAACAAGCACATGGGGCCAGATGAATCCGCAGGAAAAACACGGAAAACTCTCAGCTGGGAATCTCTCACCTTAACCACGCTTAATTTCTTAGAAAAGCAAGCTGAAGTGAAAAGTCAACCACCTAGATCCAAAAGAAGTTAGTTTTAGAGATGCTGACATGAAGGACCTGTTTTCTGAGATGAAAACATAAAAGTGAAAAAAAATGTCAAAAAGTCACACCTCTCATGAGAGAGACCCACTTATCGATAAATAATGATCCTCTGTCACAGCACAAGAAAAACATTCATCTGCAAGCGGTTTAATCGACTCTAGGCCACACATAATTTTGAATGGGGTCTTTCACAGTGGTAACTAGATTGTAGTGGAAAAACGTGAGGCGTACAATGGGAAGCTTTGGCGCGGAAGAGGCGCCTCCACTTTCTTACCAAAAAAAAAAAATCCTACCAGGGTTCTCCCGAGGGTAAGGCAGTTGTCCGAGGTCAGGGAAAACACCTGAGGGTAACAGCCTCCATAAGCAGGGCAGAGATGCTTTAAGGACCATTCAGGGCGTCAGCAGCCGGCGGCGAGACTGCAGGACGACGCAGGGGCCGGGCGGGCCGAGCGCGCACTGCGGCTCAGATTCCCTTCTCCAGAGGACAGTCTGGAAGACTTGGGGTGGTGGCGGGGGTGGTCGCTCCTTCACGGGGAAAACCTTCATCTCACAAAAGGTCTCAATTCTCAGCCCAGCTTCCCAAACAGGACTGGGAGCAAAAACAAAGGCGCGCGCGGCTCCAGCATCCGCCGACCGGCTGGCGGGCCGTGACCCACCTGACCTCCACCCGCGCACGCGGGCTGAGCCTGCCCGCCTCCGCCGCCGGGAGCCGGGGAGACCTGTGGGTGGGGGTAGGGGTGGGGGCCCGGCTCAGGCTGGCGGGCAGCCTCGGAGGGTGGGGTCGAGGGGTCCCGGGCCGGCGCCCCCACGCCCACTGGCGGGGCTCGTTCGGGCTGTCCCTGCGCTGCGGCAGTGCGCGCTCCACCTAGCCACCTGCATGCAGCCCGGGCGCGCCCCCGAGGCGCCGCCCGAACCCCTGGGCACCCGGCGAGGACGCCACCGCCGCTCGCGGGCCCGCGGGAGGAGACGCCGCCCGGCTCCCTCGGCTTCCGTCTGGCAGACGAGCGCGCGGCCCACTTACCGGCGGCGGCAGCTTTTTCCGCGGAAGGCGCGCCCACGGGAGAGGCACGGAGGAGCCGGCCTGGACGCCACGGGTCGAGCGGGTCCGCCGGGACCGCGGAGGAAGCGCCGCGCCCGAGCCCCAGCGGCTCAGGGATACTGGGGCCGGCCGGGAGGCGGGTCTTCGGCGGCGCCTGGGGAGGGCGTGGCCAAGGGCGGATCCTCTGCTGGGGCGTGGCTTGTGAGGACGTGGTCTATGGGGGCGGGTCGAGGGCGGGCCCTCAGCGCGTAGGGGCGGGGCTAAGGGCGGAGATCCTCTGAGGACGGGACGGGGCCAGCGTCGGGAGGTGGGGGCCCTTGAGGCGTGTGGGCGGGGCCAAGGGAAGAGCCCTCGGCTCGTGAGGGCAGGGCCGAAGGCGTGTCCTCTACTCTGGGGGCGGGGCTTCCAGGGCGGTTCCTGGGCTCGGGGGCGGGGCGAGGAGGCGGTCCCGGTGGGAGGGGCGGGCTCAGGGAGGCGGGTCCTCTGCGCGCGGGGGCTGGGCCTGAGCCCAGGCCTGGCAAGCACCGCGCTTCCATCCGGTGTTCCGCAGAGTCAGGGAATCAGCGGGTCCCAGGTGGGGTTTGGAGTGACAGGCAAGGAGAAATCGTTGCACCCGAAACCGGTGGGGTCCGTGGCACCTGGCCATCGGGACCACACCCCAGAGCCTCGGGGAGGAAGCAGAGCAAACCCTTCCATACATGCTCGGGCCGCAGGAGGTTTGGGGGACCCTGGCTAAGGTGCTCCACCCCAGCTTCACTTTTCCCATCCTTGGCATCAGAGGAGGTGAGGGAGATAATTCCTGCAATGAGCTTCTTTATGTAGCTCTGGCTCAGGAAGGAGACCTCACATCAAGCCTAAAGGGCATTAATATTTCCAGATAAACCCCTAATCCCTTTCGGGACCCACACAGTCCAGACTCACCCAGCCTGGCCTGACAGCTGCAGGGCAAGAGGCACCTGATGCCCGGGCTCAGGCAAAGTTCACCTGAGCACCTCATGACCCCAGCTTGGGGCTCCCAGCCAACCAGAACAGTGCCACCTGTTGATTGAGGTTGTGGTTTTTGCAGAATCAGATCTAATCTGGGGCTGATAAATACTAGGCCATCCGTGAAAGAGTCTGAGGGGATGGGAGTGGGGAGTCTATGAACACGCTGAAATTGGATAGAACATGTTATGTTTATCTGTGTTTCTGGAGAAAGGGTATAGAATTTGTATCACGTTCCCAGGGGCTCTATCTCCTCACCCAAAATACCAAGAATATTTTAATAGTTTGAGATGCTGGACCTCTGACCCAGGCTTCTGATTCTGATTTTCCATCTCCATTCCATCCATACCAAGTGTCCCAGATATAAGCCCTCTAATAGTCAGTTCTAGGAATGGTCTTAAAGTGGAAACAGAAGAAAACTTAAAGGATTGAGCATTTGGCAAGACAAAGAATTAATGAAAATTGATTTCCTAATGAAGATGTGATAAACTCCATCTTTACACAAACAAAGTTGACAAACATATGAGTTTCTTTTATTTTCTCCTTTTTTTTTCTTAGGCTCCTGAAATCCTACCACTTTCCACATTACATTGAACTAACAGAGTTAAGGTGGCTTCCCCAGTGGCTCAGTGGTAAAGAATCTGCCTGCAATGCAGGTGACATGGGTTCAATCCCTGGGAAGATCTCTTGGAGAAAGAAATGGCAACCCACTCTGGTATTCTTGCCTGGGAAGTCCCATGGACAGAAGGAGCCTGGCCGGCCCCAGTCCATGGACTTGCAAAAGAGTTGGACACAACTTGGCGACGAAACAGCAATAGAGATAGAAGAATTGCTTGTATCCACCATTAAGAGTAATCAGCCTGTCTGTGCCAAGACCACCTTGTACAATTTTGTCTTAATGCATTTATATAAAATAATACGTGTGCCTTGTAGTTAGGTCACCTAGTGCTGAAGAATGCCAGGTGTGTGGGAACTTAATTTAAATTAACTTTAACAAATCAGGATAATATAAACCCTTAAAAGAAGAACTCCATTTATAATCAGGCTTGATGGTAAATGTACAGCACTAAGATTCAAACCTGTCTTCTTATAAGGATCTGTTTACCTGGTTCCAGTTGCCTTGTCACCCTTGATCTATTACTGAGCTATGTTCACGTGTTTAAGTTATGTAAATAGCCTAGGTGCCTTGCATAATACAACTTTAATTAGGGCACTTCAGATTTAATTTAAATCAGAACTGTAAACCTTTTGACAATAAAGAAGGCTCTATAAATCACAGGAAGTGACATTTTCTGGCTCAGGCTTAGTGTTTAGTGTTAGTCGCTCAGTCGTATCTCATTTTACTCTTTGCAACCCCATGGAGTGTAGCCTGCCAGGCTCCTCTATCCATGGGATTCTCCAGGTAAGAATACTGGAGTGGGTAGCCATTCCCTTCTCCAGGGGATCTGCCTGACCCCAGGCTCAGGCTGGTCCCCCCTATTAGGGAGATTGGCCAGGGAAACACATCCTGAGTCTCCAGGATGTGTTACTGGTGACTCCCTAAGCCAGTCTCTTCTCCACCCACCTGGGTAGGAGTCTTGCGTAGCTCTGTAGTCGATGCTGTGCCTACGTTGTGTTGACTTGCAGGAACAAGTAAACCTTTGTCGGGATCATTATCTCCTGTTTCATCTCCGCTGCGTCACTGTTTGGGCTCTTCAGCTGTCACAATCCTGTTGCAGTTCAGTACGTGAGGGTAAAGGTGATGCTGTGTTTGGGTTCCCCACACAGGTGTCAACCTAGAAAACTGAAAACATGTGACAACCTGAAAAGTGTGTCACAGAGAAGCTGATGTGGGTGGGATCTCTGGCTCCATTCGGTGCCTAAAAACACGTTGTATGAGATAATTCATTTAAAACATGCCACTTCAGGGAATTCCCTAGTGATCCTGTGGTTAGGTTGCCACACTTCCACTGCAGGGGGAACAGGTCGCTCTCTAGTTGGGGAATTAAGATCCTGCAGCAGGGCCAAACAAATAAAAAATAAAATATGCCACTTTGTTTTCCTGCCTTTTATTTCTATTCTATGCATTTCTCTTTTTTTCCTTTTTTTAAGAAAAAAAAAAAAACTTTTTATTTTGTATTGGGGGGGCTTCCCTGGTGACTCAGCAGTAAAGAATCCACTTACAATGCAGGAGACACAGGTTTGATCCCTGGGTCAGGAAGATCCCCTGGAGGAGGGCCTGGACCCACTCCAGTATTTTTGCTTGGAGGATCCCATGGACAGAGAAACCTGGTGGGCTACAGTCTGTGGGGTCGCAAAGAGTCAGACACGACTGAAGCAACTAAGCACTCATGCACGCACATAGCCTATTAACAACTCTGGGATAGTTTCAGGTGGACAGTGAAGGGAGTCGGCCATACATATACATGTATCCATTCTCCCCTAAGCTCGCCTCCCATCCAGGCTGTCACATAACATTGAGAAAAGTTCCCCATGCTATACAGCAGGCCCTTGTTAGTTATCCATTCTAAACATAGCAGTCCATCCCAAACTTCCTAACTATCCCTTCCCCCTATCCTCCAGCTAAGCAACCACAATCTCATTCTGAAGTCTGTGAGTGTGCTTCTGTTTTGTAAGTAAGTTCATTTACATCATTTCTTTTTAGATTCCACATCTAAGGGACATCATACAATATTAATATTTCTCCTTCTCTGTCTGACTTACTTCACTCAGTATGATAATCTCTAGGTCCATCCATTTTGCTGAAAATATGCCACTTTAAAACCATATTTCTTTTGTCTAGTTCATGGAAAAGTTCACATAGAGGCTGGTTTGGGGATCTAATAACCATATGGCTTACAAATCCTTTAGATCTGATGCATCATCTCCTCTAATTTTTACACCAAAGGAGTTGCCTGTGATCTTTAGACTTGCAATAGTGAAGTTGGATGTACCAAGTGCTAGGCACCAGGGAATTTTGTGGTCAGTCCTGGATTGGAGAAGGCAATGGCAGCCCACTCCAGTACTCTTGCCTGGAAGATCCCGTGGACGGAGGAGACTGGTAGGCTGCTGTCCATGGGGTCAAGAAGAGTCAGACACGACTGAGCAACTTCACTTTCACTTTTCACTTTCAGGCATTGGAGAAGGAAATGGCAACCCACTCCAGTGTTCTTGCCCGGAGAAGCCCAGGGACTGCGGAGCCTGGTGGGTTGCCGTCTGTGGGGTCGCACAGGGTCGGACACGAGTGAAGTGACTTAGCAGCAGCAGCACTCCTGGATACAATTCTGACTCTTGGCTCTTAGCTGTGTGATCTTGGTAAGTTAATCATCCTCTCCAAATCTGTATTTATTTATTTGAAAAATGGCATTAAGAGCTACCTCAGGGACTTCCCTGGTGGTCCTGTGGTTAACACTCTCCGCCCCCAATGCAGGGGGCCTGGGTTCAATCCCTGGTCAGGGAACTAGATCCCACATGCCACAGCTAAGAGTCAAATGCCACAGCAAAGATCAAGGATCCTATGTACCACAACTAAGACCTGGTGCAGCCAAATAAATAAATATTAAAAAAAAAAATCTATCTCAAAGGACTGTGGTGAGAATTATATGAAACAATGTTGGAAAAGTATTAAGCATGACTTATGGCCTAGCATGCCATGGATTCTCAATTCATGATTTTTCCCCCTTTCTGACTCCAAGCCTAAATATTCTTCTTTTTCCTTTACAGCATACTATGAAACGTTTTCATGCACTACAATTTGTTAGGTTCCTTTTGGTTGTAAGTAACAATAAGCCACTTCAAACTGTCTTAAGGAAAAGGGCAGCTTCTTTTAAGGGAATAAGAGTTTCTAAGAGCATCTCTTAGAATCCAGAATATCAGGGATGATCTGAAGCTGGGGAATGGATGCCCCTGTGAGGAGAGGGGCCTTTTTTAGGGGGAGGGAGAGGGGGCAGTCTATAGCTGCTTTTTAAAGTTTATTTGTGCTGGGTCTTTGTTGTAGCAAGTGCGCTCAGAGCACACGGGCTCAGTATTGCCATGGGATCTTAGTTCCCCAATCAGGGGTTGAACCTACATCCCCTGCTTGAAAGGCAGATTCTTAACCACTGGACCACCAGGGAAGTTCCTGTAGCTGCTTTATTTTATTTTTTAACTGAACCACTGTTTTTTAATCGAAGGGTAATTGCTTTACAATGTTATGTTGGTTTCTGCCTCACAGCTTGAATCAGCTGTGTATACATATGTCCCCTCCCTCTTGGTGGCGCCAGCGGTAAAGAATCTGCCTGCCAGTATAGCATATGCAAGAAACAGGAGTTGGATCCCTGGGCCAGGACGTGCCCCTGGAGGGGGAAGTGCCAATCCACGCCAGTGTTCTTGCCTGGAGAATCCCATGGACAGAGGAGCCTGGAGAGCTGCAGTTCATGGGGGTCCCAAAGAGTCGAACATGCCTGAGCACATACACAGCCTCCCTCTTGAACCCCCCTCCCAGCCCTCACCCCATCCCACCCATTTCGGGTGCACGGGGTTGAGCTCCCTGTGTTATACGCGGCAGCTTCCCAGTAGCTAGTTATTTCACACGTGGTGTCCTGTGTGTTTCAGTGGTACTCCCTCAGTGTGTCCCGCCTCTCCTTCCCACCCTGTGTCCACAAATCTGTTCTCTGAAGCTGCTTTGCTTCAGAGTCAGTTGCG